CCCATTATTTCCAGGTATTTGAGAGGTCTAATGGGCACCTTCAATGAGAGGGCAGAGAAACTGATGACTAAACTTACAGATATCGCTGATAGCAAAACAGAGGCCCACATGCTGCGTCTGGTCAACTTTGTTACCCTTGATGTTATTGCTAAGGTATTGTGCCATCGTCTGTTTTACAGCTTCCACTGCAGTAGCCCTCATCCAGAAATGTTTTTTGTGTACGTCACAAAAGTTCATCTAATCAAGTTGTAGCTAACTTGTTTTTTTTCTAACTCTCAGGTTGCTTTCGGTGTGGATTTGGACCAGCTGAAGGATAGTTCAGTTTTCCCGAAAGCCATCGAAATGTGTTTGAAAGGGATGGTGCACTACATCATAAACAGCTTTTTTAAGGTATGACTTCACTGCAGGTTTATACGGAGTTTGTTTTGTGACAGTATTATAAACCGTGTGAGATCCTCAAACTTTGCATTTCCAGTACAACCCAAAGAACCGACCGTTCATAAAGGAAGTGAGGGATGCATGCCGCCTGCTGCGCACAACCGGAGCTCAGTGGATTCAAAGCAGAAAGACCGCCATGCAAAACGGCGAAGACGTCCCCAAGGACATCCTCACACAGATCATCAAAACAGCTGGCAAAGGTGACGGTCCCTAAAGTTCAGATTAGATGAGAGGAAAGTTTAAACATCCCTGTGTTGTAATCAGCATCATGTAAGTTACTGAAAATTAGTAATCAGCTGCTGGTTACTTCTCTCAAAAGTAAAGGAATTACTAATTTCACATTTGGCACAAACGTTCACTTTGACTCGAGGATGAACTGATTAGATGCTGGTGGTCAAAGGTCAAGGTCGCCATGCATCCATCGCCTTCTTCTGAACGATATTTCTAGAAAAGCTCGAGGGACGTTCTTCAAATGTGGCACAAACGTTCCCTTGGACTCAACGATGAACTGATTAGTTTTTGTGGTCAAAGGTCACTGTGACCTTTTCCATTTCCTTCTTGTGAACATAATATCCTTAGAGCACCTTGAGGAAATTTCTTCAGATGTGGCACAAATGTTCCCTAGTACTCAAAGATGAACTGATTGGATTTCGGTGGTCAAAGGTCAAGGCTATGACTGTGTATCTGTCTTTTTCTCGTGAACATGATATGTCAAGAGCACCTTAAGGGAATTTCTTTACAATTGGCACAAACATCGATATGGACTGAAGCATAATCTGATGAGAATTTTGTGGTTGGAGGTCAAAGGTCAAGGTCAGTGTGACCTCACAAAATATGTTTTTTGGCCATAACACAATAATATGCTGATAATGACAAAACTTCACACAAATGTCTAATAGGATAAACTAATGAAGTGATGACATTTTATAACCGAAAGGTCAAAGGACAGCATCACTGTGACATCATAATGTTCTGCATAAAACACTTTTCTGGCCATTATTCAGCGTCATATCTCAGGAACAGAGGGGAGACATTTGGTCAGATACTGAATTGGTGACATTATTCTTAGGTGTCCACCTTGAAACTGTGCTGATTGTATACATCGTCTGTGTGTGAAGCATCCATGTTTTCACCGACATGGATGTAAACAAAGAAAGAAAAACTTGACTGGTGCACGGAGGCATACGACTGCTGGGTGGTAATTCTAGTTAAATCGGGAAATGTGGGCTTAATATGGATATTACAACATGTCCTTACAGCAAGCATGCGTCACTCTCTGTCCACACTGAATCGGTTAAATAGGCACTACTGTTACATCATGTAAACAAGGACACATGGGTATTATATTTTTTAATTATTATATGGTAAGATGACTGGAATACTGATTTACTTCTTCAAATCTGCTTTGTTTTTTTCATTATTTCAGAGGAAACCATGACGGAAGAAGATGAAGAGTTGATGTTGGACAATTTTGTGACATTTTTCATTGCAGGTTGGTTTGTGTCGTTTCTGTTTTGATGTGTGAAATGCTCCAAAAACAAAGTCAGGCTAACAATGTTACCCAGAATGTAAACTATCCACCAGTGTGGTAGTGAATTCATGAGATTTTGGAGTAAAATACTCAATAGAAATAATCCGTATACTCTTCTGTAAACAACATTAATATTGAAGTCCTACATTTACTGTGTTTTTAGCTGAAGTTTTATTTAAAGCTCCACTTCTGGTATAAAGAATACAATCACTGTGTGTTGCATGTAGTTGATCCACATTTGAAGTTAATGTTCTAACATTTAAGGGCAAGAAACAACAGCTAACCAACTGGCCTTTTGCATCATGGAACTTTCAAGACATCCTGAAATACTGGAGAAGTAAGAACCAATAATTCAGTGCAAAGCAGTTTCATTATGTAGCTTTTTAAAAGATGGTTTCTTCAGTTGTGTTTTTATTTCTCAGAGTGAAGAACGAGGTGGATGATGTCATTGGAATGAAACAGGACATCAGTTATGACGATCTGGGGAAATTGGTCTACCTATCACAGGTACTTATCATAAGGGTTGGGTACTGATCACCTTTGAATCGATACCTGTGGTGTTACCAGGAATTTGATACCAGTACCCAAGCTTTTATTGGTACTTTACTCTTTCTAAAGTTGCTTTTCTCAAGCTGCAGTCAACTAGCAAATTTGCTCCTGTGTTCTTTTCTATTCTCACAAGGAGTTAAGTCTTCGTCTGTCTGTTTGCTTGTGTGTTTGTGTTTCTGCTCGTCTCTCTCACTCTCTGTTTTGACACAACCAACAAATATGTATATATGTGTAAGTATGTAATTCAAAAGACATAATCAGAAACAGCAAAAACCTGTAAAGGGTACTGCCCAGGGACTCGGTTTGTACCCTTATGATTGGGGGACTTCAATGCTCATGTGGGCAACGATGAAGAAACCTGAAGGAGGGGTGATTGGGAGGAACAGCCTGCCTGATAAACTGGAGTGGTGTCATGTTATTAGACTGTTGTGCTAGTCATGGAATAGCCATAATGAACACCATGTTCTTAAGCGTTACTGGTACCAGACACACTAGGTCAAAGATTGATGATTTACTTTTACGGTTGTATCGTCCGATCAGCAGTGGAGGGTGAAGCAGTCGAGATGACAGTCAGTACCTCCCAGTCTGAGGTCATGGTTTTCTGCTGGAAACAGGTGGATTGCCCCCTGTGAGTTGGGAGAGAGTTACTGCTCCAAGCAAAGGAGTTCAAGTATCTCAAGGCCTTGTTCACAAGTGAGGGTAAAATGGAGCGTGACATGGACAGGCAATTGGGCACGTAGTCAGCAGTGGACTGCCGTGGTGAAGAGGGAGCTAAGCCAGAAGGCAAAGCTTTCAATTTGCTGGTCCATCTATGTCCCAACCCTCACCTATGGTCATGAGCTTTGGGTAGTGCCCAAAAGAATGCGATCAGGGATACAAGCGGCTGAAATGAGTTTCCTCCGTAGGGTGGCTGAAGAGTTCAGACATGCGGCGGGAGCTCAGAGTAAAGCAACTGCTCCTCCGCATTAAAAGGGGCCTGTTGAGGTGGTTCATACAGGTCATCTGGCCTGGGAACGCCTTGGGATCCCCCAGGAGGAGCTAGGGGTTGCTGGGGAAAGGGACCTCTGGAGTACTTTGCTCAGCCTGCTGACCCCGTGACCTGACTCCGGATAAGTGGATGAAAATGGATGGATGGATTGATGGATGGAGGGAGTCACAGACAGCAGTGATACCAGGCTGTTTCTAAAAGAAAAAGGACAAGATGCCAGAACTATTGGCACTGCTGCGATAGTTTTGGTTGCCAGAGAGCTGACAAGCTCCGGCTTCCCAGCTTCAGGGTTCTTTGCGGTGCTTCTTTCTGCTATCCAAATCCAATAATCATATGTGTATAACAGTAGAAGTATGACTAATGATAACAGCAGCAGCAGGAGGCATCAGGCAGGACCACGGCAGCAGCACAACCACACACGTCACACTATCCAGGCACTGCTGCAATACGAGTTAACCGGAGAGACAGTGGAGCACAAAGGCTCCGGACAAGAAGCCGAGTTTGTGACATCCAGAATGGCCGAGTTAGCAAGATGCAGTAATAGGATACAAGAGAGAGAGAGAAGGAGAGAAGGTGCCCGGTGTATTATAGGGGGTCCTCTGGCAGACTAGGCCTAAGTCAGCCTAACTAGGGGCTGGTACAAGGCAAGCCTGAGCCAGCCCTAACTATAAGCTTTATCAAAGAGGAAAGTCTTAAGTCTAGTCTTAAATGTGGAGACGGTGTCTGCCTCCCGGACCGTAACAGGAAGATGATTCCACAGGAGAGGAGCCTGATAGCTGAAGGCT